CCCATCTTCAGAGATGGGGGAAGGATCAGTCCACACACAGAGAGCCTTTTGCAACTTTACTTAAATATCTTATGTACAATATAATACAGCTTCAGTCTCCCATTCTCTGATGACGGCACATTACTTCTAGCACACAGGAATAGTTATCAACAGATAGCAGAGAGGTTAGTCGAGGTGTAGCCCAGAGCCAGTGGAGAGGTATTGCCCAGAGTCCTGCATCCTATAGTGATGCGAGTAGTCCCATCCAGATAGTGATGCGAGTAGTCCCATCCAGATAGTGATGCGAGTAGTCCCATCCAGATAGTGATGCGAGTAGTCCCATCCAGATAGTGATGCGAGTAGTCCCATCCAGATAGTGATGCTCCTGCCCTCCTTTGCGGAAGCTGAAAGATATCCACAGCGACTACATGGTGACAGGCCTGGTTCTGTGCCTTCCCATGGACCAGCCTTCTGTAAATCCCTTGTCTTTACTGTGCCAACTGCACATGTGCCTTCCTCTCCTGGGTGGCTACTCCACCCAAAATAATATATATGGCTCTCCCTGGACAGAGCTCCTTTTAACTCTACAGTCACTCTCTCAGCCACTCACTATTACCTATGGGGACATCTAGTGGCAGATTGGCATACTGCAATCCTCAATCCAGCCCACTACCCTACACCACACCTTTGTGAGTGTTTGTTTTTCCCACCATCGCCTACCAAAATTAAACATTACCATGCCATATAAAATGACTACACTATATCAGTTCACTCCTGGGACTTCTGCCCCTACTTTTCTTCTCCTTTTCCTGGAGTTTGTTCTTTTTCCAAGTTATCCAATAGCCCCATCTCTTATTAGCTCACCTTCTGGGGCAGCTGACCCGAAAACCCATTTCATGCAGTCGTGTATTCCTTTTAAAATAAATGTATTTTACATGCAACTAGCAGAAAGCTGGCCATACACTCGTAGATTTCCAAACCGAGGATCTTTCTTTACCACGTGACAATGCCATCAGACACTTGACGAATGTTGAACAAAGTTGTTGTTTTTTTTTTTTTAACATTTGATTTTGGAATGAATGGAGTTTCCCCGAACGACAATCACATTCCCCGTGAGAATTTCATTTGCATGAGAAACATTTTCCATCCTGCTTCTTCAACTTTTTTCATCACTGCGAAGAAAATCGATCGTCGGTTTGACCCCCATCAGCTAAGAGAAAGTCGAAAGAAAGACTCTTCGTACGAAAGTTCATTCAGAAATCTACTAGTGTACGGCCAGATTAAGGCTGGGTTCACACCTAGGCGTATTGAATGTGCGTTTGTCGCGTGTTTTTTACCGCAATTCGCGGTAAAAAAACGCGCGACAAACATGCGTTTCCGTGGGCTACTTGGCTGTATCCCAATGGAAAACGCGAGACCAAAACACCCCAAAGAAGTACATGTACTTCTTTGGGCATGGGCCGTTTTGTATCGCGTTCAGACGGGCGGAAATACGGCAAGGTGTGAACCAGACCCATTGAATACAATGGGATTTAGATGTTTGAGCGTTTTGTAGAGCGTTCGTCGAGCGTTGACACGCTACAAAACGTTCAGGTGTGAACCAGGCCTTATGTTTTCAATATATGCAGCGCCAACGAAAAATGGTGGATAAATTGAGTGAATGTGGTTAAGACAATATACCATTTAATCACTTAGTTTAGTTTAAGACAGAGCACTTTTGTTTCACCCATCCAGCGCAGAATCAATAAACACATATACACGTGAACCAGGCCTTAGTCTTGTGAAACACAGCTCACACATACGAATGAAGGTCACTAGAATGGTGGATGAGTGACGGGTAATTTTATTTAAAAGGAAAAATTTACTAAAACACTAACTTGTCCTTTTAAAGCTTTTTTTTTTCCCTTCAACCGTAGCTCCATGATACTGAACTGATTGAAAAACTAAGGGGGGGGGGGGGGGGGAGCCGCTGTCAGAATACCTGCACCCAGACTGCAGCTGATAGGCTACAATCACTGTATAGCCTTTGCTTTTTTGGACATGCTCCTTTGACAAAAGCTAATTAAGTCCCAATTGGGACACACGCAGTACTGGTCCACAATTTGAGCAGTGTACGGCCGGCTTTAGTCTGAATGGGCCCTAAGTGTTTATACTGTCTGTCTACACTGTTAAAGTCCTGGCTTTACTAGTTAGTGAATCACTAACCTGGACCTCAGTCTGAACTCTCAGCAAGTACCCCACTAGGAAGTGAAAAAAAACTTTATGAAGTCAGCGATAGTACTTCCCATATTTGTACCCTCACAAGTTTCCTTTATCACCCCAAACCCTTCAAGTCAATTCTGGACAAACTACAACAAAATACTCAAGAAAACAGTCTTTACAGAGGATTTATTGACATAGAAGTTGGTGTGTCTGCTTCTTAAAGTTCACTAATGGGCTTGTGTGGCCAGTAGACATATTTCTCTTTGTCCAGCCTGGTTTCAGGGAAAGCTTCCATCACATCTTCATTTGTCATCTGATCAAATGGAATCATGTTCCTAAATTTTGTCAGCTGCATAAAGAAAGAATAAAGTTATATCTCTCTCACAGGAAACAGTAGAAAAGCCAACCTGTGAACAGATACCCTTAGCAGTACAGACTAGATCAGTTGACGTTCTACTAGAAATTCATTTTAACCAAGTAAGGGTTAGTTCACACCGTAGGCAGTGCAAGCACTATTTGGATCGCACCACATCGGACCGCACTGCAGCCACAATGTGCCTAGCGATCTCGTGCGGGCAATCGCATTGCGGCCGGAGGGCGTGGCTACGGTGCCATTCGCTTCAATGGCCCACAACGTCCTCTCCAGCCCGGCAAAAAATTGAGCCGGCTGCAATGCGATGCAGTGCGTTCCGGCCAGAATCGGACCGGGACGCACTGCCTATGGTGTGAACTAACCCTAAAAGGACAGAAGCTCCTCAAATGCCAGCCTACATTTCTCTCATGACGGGTTTCCTTTATAACAAGTCCATGGACTTCCTGCAGCAAGTAAAGAGGCACAGAGAATATTAAACAGAGACCTCTAGGAACCCCAAAAACTGGGATGCTCCATTCGGCAAACCAATTATGACACTAGTGTGCTGTGCTCCCCTCAGAAAGTGATGGGTGGTCTCACATTGCAGAAGGAAAAGCAAGGGGCAGGTCATAGCACAACCAGAAAATGGCACGTTGGGATCCAGGGATTTCAGAGTGCTCTAGAAATGAACCTGAAGGTAAAGCTGTATCTTTTGGATACATCAGTTGCTGCCCGAAGGGCACAGGTTTTCTTCAATTTGTACCTATTAATACTAAATTAAATGGTCAGCGGGCGTAAAATGCAAGGAACTATATCTGTCCCTGCAGTTATCAATGTAGATCCAAGTTACCTCGGCATAGGTCATTGTCCTGGGGAATGTTAATCTACAGATTGCAGGCAGGAAGTGGTTAGGGCAGATATCATGCCACAAGGGGATGCAATATCATTTATAAACCCTTATCTGGATGTAAAAAAATTTACTGTGAAATGAACACATAACTGAAAACAATTGGAGGTTTTGTAGACGACTGTGTCCTGAATTAGTGTACTGTACGTCTAATTTTATTGCAGTTACTTTATTTTTGCTTTTCAGAAAAATCATATCCGTGACAGGACTAAACACAAGCCCATCTATATGACTAGGAATGTCACGATACCGATACTTTGCATTTTCAGGAGTACTCCTGAAAATGCCCTCATGCTTAAGGCCGATACTGGCCCTTTAAATTTTTTAAACAAGTTTGGCTGCCTAAGGTCACGCGCTTGCTGGGGGCCTTAGGCAGCCTGCTGGAACCTCGCCATTGCTGTCTTTGACAGTGTCGGTCTGGCCCCACATTTCCTGCTCATCCTTTCCAGCGCCCACAGAGACAGGCACCGCAAAGGACAGCCCCACACTGCTGTACAGCCCTGGTGCCTGGCATGAGAACACCAGCACCTACCCGCACAGAGAGCCCGGCACCCGCAATGCACAGAGAGCCCCAAACGCAGCCCCCGGTGAGACCGCTCACAGCTCTGTATAACGGCTGCATAATCATGGGCTGATGGGATCAATGATAATACAGCAATAAAGAATGGCAACTGGTTATAGGGGACTACAAATCTCAGCAATCCATGATTGCTGGTTGTCCTTCTCCATTGCTGCATTATCATGGATTGATGGGATCTGTAGTTCTCTATTGCTGGTTGCCATTCTCCATTGCTGAATAATCATGGAGTTACAGTTCTTCATAATTATAAAGAAACTGCCCGAAAATCATTAGTCTGTATTGTTTTAGTAAAAATGTCACATGTCTCTTTAAGAAAAAGTATTTGTAATTGGTATCGGCAATACCTGAGGGAAAGTACTTGTACTTGGTCTTGGAAAAAAACGGTATTGGGACATTCCAATATATGACGACAATACCTTTGCCTACCCACAAAAACAACACTCTAAAAATCCTATAGAATGATCAGCTGACCTGACAAAAATGTTTTTATGCCAAATACAGATTTAGTAAATGATCGGAAGCTTGGATAACGACATACCTCTTTCTCATAATGGGCCACCCTGGCTTTAGATTCGTCAATGAAGGATAAAGCAGATTTGTTCTAGAAGCAAACAAAAACCATGAGACATGTTACATTTACAGGCAACGTGCAGAGCTATTATGAAGGTGTCCTTGTCATAAAAGGTAAACAAAATATCTTAAAAAACATTTATTACAGGTATTTATATAGCGCCAACAATTTATGCCGCGCTTTACATACTGCGTATTCACATCAGTTCCTGCCCTAAAGGAGCTTACAGTCTAAGGCTCCAAACTCACATGCACACAGGAGCTAAGGAACCTACCAGCATGTCTTTGGAGAGTGGGAGGAAACCGGGGTACCAGGAGTAGACCCAGGCAAGCACAGGGAGAACATGCAAACTCCCTGCAGAGGGTACCCTGACCAGTGACCTGCAAGGCAGAAGTGCCAACCACTGTGCTATACAAAACCTATAATGCAATAATTGATTTAATAAAGTGAACCTTTCTTTTATCCATGCAGGGCAAAGTAAATGTGCCGCCAACATTTCAAAGCATCAGACAGCAGAGAAAAATGACGGCTGCCGGGATAAGGAATTCGGTAAAAATGTGTACTTCTTGATGCGCCGCCCCCCCCTCTCGCTAAAATGATCATTTGTGGGGAAAGGGGGTGGCACTGCCGAGCTAAGTATAACAGCACCTCAGAGTTGAGCTTTAAAGGATACCTATGGGGATAGGGCTTTTCCCCATAGTTCTCCTAAGGGTAACGGGAGGACACAAACTAGCATCCTCCCGTCACCCAAAGCTCAGTATACCGCGAGCTACAGCTCCCGGTATACCGAGACGCTGCAGCCGGAACGGATCCCGACAATGCTGTCTGGATCAACCCAGCTGTGTGAGTGACAGCTGGCTCTGCCTATCTAGAGGCAGAGCCAGCTGTACCCGCCCCGTCCGTTCCGCTAGTCAGCACTGGAGGATCGGACAGAGGAGGGGGGATCCCTGCAGGGAGCCGTAAGTGACAGTCATGGCTCTCTGCAGGGACAGGATCGAGAAGTGAGCAAGCGACGGTATGTGTTCGCTCACTTCCAGGTCTATTGAGCCGACGTGTGACAATTTCATGGTCACAGGTCGGATAGAACTATGAGGCTGAGTGATTTTCACTCGCCTCATAGTTCTCCTTTAAGAGAAGAACAAACATCATAACTTATGCATGCTCAGTAACTAACAATCTATATATTCACAGATGTATGTCTTTTACTATATTATTGAGAGAGATATAGATAGACACACATACATACAGGTGAACCTCGAATAATTAGAATATCGTGCAAAGTTCATTTATTTCACTAATGCAACTTAAAAGGTGAAACTAATATATGAGATAGACTCATTACCTGCAAAGCAAGATAATTCAAGCCGTGATTTGTCATAATTGTGATGATTATGGCTTACAGCTCATGAAAACCCCAAGAACCCCAAATCCACAACCTCAAAAAAAGTAGATTATTACATGCAATCAATAAAACAAGGATTGTACATAGAACAATATCGGACCTCTGAAAAGTACAAGCATGCATATGTACTCAGTACTTGGTTTGGGCCCCTTTTGCAGCACTTACTGCAATTACTTTTGCACGATATTCTAATTATTCGAGTTTCACCTGTATATACACATATACACACACACTTACTTATAGAATATTAAAGTGGACCTTTACCCCCTTTTACTAAAAATCACATCAGCGTGCAGCACTGCATGCTGATATGAAATCATCTTACATTCATTAGTCAAACACTTTTTTACAATGATTGTTTTTCCACTTCCTGGACCTCTTGGGCATAAGTGATGTAATGTGCCCAAGTGATGCATCCTAAAAAGGTTAGGTCAGCAGAGCATTCCTGGAAAAACTCATCTATAATCTCACGAGGTCTCAGGGAAAGGCATTTGTTCCCTTGAGATGATGTGCATGGTCACATGTGCCAGAGTTCCAGGAAGTAAAGGGAGATACAATAATCTGCCCTTAGTAAAAATGGCCGCTGTCAGAAGACTGGGGAGGAAACAAAAATAAGGTATGCAAAAAATAAAAACACCGGCAATTATCTGGAAGTATCAGTTTGTAGATTTCCATTACTAAGTATTTCTAAAGGAGTCTTTGTTGTCATTTCAAAGATGAGGGTAAAGTTCCTTTTTAAAGAACAGAAAAACAGATGATATAAAAATGGACTTACAGCTTCCTGTTCCTGGGCATTGATCTTTTCAGAATGGGTATCCTTGGGCTCTGGGACACTCAGAGCCTTAAACTGAAGAAGCAAAAACAATTACTTTTAAAATGTGCTTTTACTTAGATCTCTACAATTCACATGCTCTGGAAGTCATAATAGTCTGCTTACCTTTTTCTCAAACTCATCCACCAAGCCTGCCTTGACAATTGTGGCTCGGTAAGCAGCCCAGTCAATTGCTGGAGGTTTTTCAGGGAGAGATGTCAATCTGTTAAAAGAAAATTCTAGATTATTTTGGTGCTCCCAGGTGTATATGCATAAAACAAGTAATGCAATTAGACCACAAAGACACTGAAAACTACGAGATGCATAAGAGGGCCTGAGACCACCACAGATGGAGGATGAATGAAACAGTTCATGTCCTGCCTTATGAAGTCAAGTGCTGCTCCTGTGCAAATGGCTTAATTAAACTACACACATGTAAACATACCGAGGGCCCTGTGCAGATAAAATGGAACCTTCGTTACCACGGTGATCACTAAATATTAGTGAAAAAGATGTGGACACCACAAGTGAGATCACACCCCACAGCATCTAACATCTGCAAAGGTCTTGGCATCAAACCCTGGGTGGGGGTATTACACTTTTAGTCAGCAATGGCAGCCACCATATTTGTGCTGTTACATCTATTTTATGAGAATATGACACGTTGCATAGTCATGGTTAATATTCAGATTACTGCGAATTGAGAATTTACATAGTTAAGTTTCCTTAAGGAGAACTATGAGGTGAGTGCTTTTCACTCACCTCATAGTTCTAGCCGACCTGTGACAATGAGACTGTCAAAGGTCGGCTCAGTAGATCGGGAGGTGAGCGAACACATTCCGGCGTTCGCTCACCTCTCGATCCTGTCACGGCTCTCTGCCATGACAGGGGAGGGGCTGGATTCCCCCCTCCCCGCTCTGCCAGTGCTGACTGGAGGGGGCGGGTACAGCTGGCTCTGCCTCTAGATAGGCAGAGCCAGCTGTCAGTCACGCAGCTGGGCGGATCCCAGCATAATTGTCGGGATCTGCTTCAGCTGCGGCGTCTCAGTATACCGCGAGCAGCAGCTCGCGGTATACTGCGGCGTCTCACTATACCGCGAGCTGCAGCTCGCGGTATACTGAGCCTAGGGTGCCGGGAGGATGCTAGTTTGTGTCCTCCCGTTACCCTAAAGGGAACTATGGGGAAAAGCCTTAACCCCATAGTTCTCCTTTAAAACATTGTTCATTAGCACTGGTATAGTTGGTTTATATACTGCCATCTTGTGGTCATTTTTGTTATTGCACCCTCGTTTTCTGTCTTCCCTCTCCTTGTGTGTGATGTACTTCCCTTCGTATTCACATTGTCTTTTCTGGTATCATGGCCGCTTGTCTCATGGCCACATGGGGGAAAGCATTACTATCTTTTGACCTGCAAATACTGTCTTTCTAATCATCTGCTACATCCTGTTGTCTGCTGTAACCTGCTGCATTCAATAAAGACCTTTGTGGATGAAAAGGTATTTGGCGAGTACAGCTATCTGATAAGGATTGTCTGCAGTGATTATATCTGCTTATACAGACCAGACATAGAGGTCTCAGCAAGGGATAAATCGCTAATACAACAGAGTCAGAATGATATTTTTCCTAGTACAGTTTCCCTTAAATTGAAGTCACACTTAGTGAAGCATCATATGCCTTTCATGGGCCATCACCTCCACAAACCTGAGGACCTATTTCACAAGCACGCTAGTCACCCAGGGAACCATGAATAGGAAAATTGCATGGGGTCAGGGCAAAGTAACCCCAACCTATACAAGTGATCAGGTGGCACTGCAACTACCCAGATAATGTATTCTTGTTAGCTGGCAGCCTGCTGACAGGATCTGAAACAAGCTCACGGCTGCTATTACACCAGGAACTGTGGAAAAGGGATCTCCAAATCTTTCATTCTGATAGCCCCAGGGGTGTTGGTCACATAGGTCAGAAGGTGACATGAACTGGAATAAACTTCGAACATTTGTGGAGATAAAAATATGAGCAGCAAAGTCTGATTAGCATTTAAACAGAAAACAATGCAAAATCTACATCCAGAGAACATGTGACAGATGTATGTGGAGCCTTTAAATTGTTATCTGGCCCTCAAGTGGCGATGCACTCACTTTGCAGCCACGGTATCACTGCGGATCTTCAGCGCATTAAACATAGCTCTCTGATTCGGAGGAACTCTTTCTGCAAATGCCAACCAGTCCACCGCCTTGATTGCAGCTCTGCGACCCGCCATGATTATGGTCTGAAAAAAAGAAAGGATGTGGTACAGCTACATGAGAAAGCATCAACAGCAAGATCTGTCTTCAAAGATAGAAACAATGAAGACACTTTCCTTATCTCTAGGCCCACAAAGCTGCATTTGGTCAATAAGATTGTATATATTCCAGGGGTGTGGAATTCCTATCGCCCAGGACATGCAGTTTCGGGCGCGTCGTTTTTTTTTGTACATTTAGCCCTGCTCCAGACAAGCAGAGCTAAATGTACAGTGGGAGCTGCTGCTCGTTCTTATACAAGTGATCTAATCAGATCACTTGTATCAAATCGAGTGGCGGCGATCGTGTCCGGGGTCCCCCCGCAGTGGTTTTCGGGGTCCCCCTGACCACGGCACATGAGCTCACCATAGAGCACGTAGAGCAGACAAAGAACGTCTGCTCTGTGTGATCACTGAGACCGGAGCGCTGTAATAACAACACAACTATATAACAAGCGATATCAATGAAATAACGGCCGAAATGAAGAAAATAAGCTTTGTGAATTGACCCCATTGTGTGTGTGCGTTGAGTGCTCCCGCCATTCCACTGTGTGCCATATTGTGGTAGCCAGGCAGCAGAACTCTCTTACACACACAATGTGCATTAAAGAGTAAGTTCACTTTCCCAAATAATATGGGAAAATGGAATCACCCGATCATAGCCCGCTGCCCGGCTTCCTGATTGCCCTGGAAGCCTGCTCCATGCCAACAGAAGCACCGATACTCTGTATCGGCGAGTACCAAAGACACGGACACTGAACTTAAATCTGCTTATATCTTGCCTTCAAAGGTTCCTTCTCTCCCCTCATCAACATACTAATGAAATGTTTAAATAAAACCTGTTTTCATTACACACCTTAGTCTGGGCCCAGTGATGTCATCACTGGATCTCTACGCTACTCTATGCAATGCAGGCAGATCATGATTAGTGGGAGGGGCCGGTACAGTGCTGCACATAACTTCCTGGAAACATCACAACACCCTGCCTCAGTACTAATCTCAAAAGCCCTCGACCCTGATGCAAGTAGTGGGATGGTTTAGGGAGCATTTATGCACATAGCAATATGCCTCCATGGGTGGATGTCAGCGTGGAGGAGAGGGCATTTCAGGGCAGGCTGCGTCTGCTGACCTCCTAAGACAACACCAATATGTGATGCCCAGCCTCCATGATTAAAAGAACTGAAAGCCAAAAAACGAAAGGGACTGGCCAGAAACAGTAAGGCTGGGGAGGAAAGAGCTAGCTGATGCTGGTATCCTTTAGCCAGGAAATTAAGTGGGCTTGCTGCAGCTCCTATGGACACTGAAAAGCTCAAAAGAAGCAGCAAAACTCAGACTAAGCAATTTGAGGAGAGGGGAGGAGTCTGTACATCTGTGCTAGACTGAAGGTCACTCTCAGGGGAAGTAAATCCACTAAAGTCAGTGACAACCAGCAATATCAGAGAGTGATCATCAATAACAGCACACTGGCTCAGCAGTGAGCTTTTCAGTGTTCAATAGTAAAAGGAAAGATGTGTCCTTGTTCTCTCACTCTAAGCGGAAACACCACAGGGCTCTTTAGACACCTGATAGAGGGCCTGTCACAATAGGAGAATAACCTGTCAGCAAAGGTGACAGCACTTAGCCCCTTCACGAACCAGGACGGGATAATCTCATCACGAATCCTCAAGGGGTTAAACAGACTCCCAGCTCTGTTCATATTTGTAGGGTCGGCGGGTGGCTTTACAGTAGAAGCGATTCTGGCGGCTCAGCTATCGCCAGATCGCTTCTATGATCCGTTAAAGTGGCCGCTGCCTCCACCCCTCGCCACGTTTCCTAGGCTCCGCTGCCCCCCCTACGGGCCCGGGACCAAAATGTGGAAGTCAAGGTGAGCCCTGCACTGATAGTCCTACTCGTCACAGGCCAGAGGATCAGCATGGCACACAAGGTCAAAAGTAGCAGCCAACACATTACACTTATGACAGGTTCTCTTTTGAGAAGCACAGCATTGTCTAAGCCTTAGTCCTCAACTGGTGGGTCGTGACCCAAAAGTGGGTCACGACCACGTGTTCAGTGGGTCCCTGCATGCCTTCCACTTTTATAGGTGAGAGGCTCCTTAATTGCACTGTACCATGCAGTCGCACCTACTTTACATTCTGGTGTGGGAGGTGTGTTGCATTGCCATCCATTTGAATAGTCCCCAAAACGCACCTCCCACCCACGGTCTGTACACCAGCATCAGAACTCACGGCTCCCTGCAGGGATTCCTCCCCGGTCCAATCCTCCAGCGCTGACTGGCGGAACGGACGGGGGAGGGGCAGGTACAGCTGGCTCTGCCTCTAGATAGGCAGAGCCAGCTGTCACTCACGCAGCTGGGTGGATCTCAACAGTAATGTCGGGATCCGTCCTGGCTGCTGCAGTCTCAGTATATCGCGAGCTGTAGCTCGCGGTATACTGAGCTTTGGGTCACGGGAGGACGCTAGTTTATGTCCTTCCGTGACCCTGAGGAGAACTATGGGGAAATATACTTACCCCATAGTTCTCCTTTAATGACCAAGGACAAATGTGGGTCCTGAGGTTACACAGGTTGAGAACAACTGGTCTAACCTGTACACACATATCGCCTAAGCCGCTCCTTGTATCTACAGCTGCCATGTAAAGGTGATATTGGCTTCTGTCTATCAGTTCATTATATATAAGGCACCCTATATGCAACACACACAGTCCCTGGTCACCCCACAGCCCTTCACACCACTCCCGGCCTTCTGACCCGGCCCTGAGCACAGGGGGGACTTCAAGGTCTCTCACACAGAAGAACCTCCGCCTGCCGGATAATTATCATTCAGCACGTGTTATAGGGTCTTCTGACACGGGGGGAGCACGCACATTTTCCCGCTCAGGTCACCAAACACAGAGCAGTCATTCCTCACCTCTATCACCGACCTCCACTCACACTAGCCGGGACAGTGCAATGGCAGCCGCTGCAGGTGACGTTTAATCGAACACCGGAACCACCAATCGGCAACAGCGACACTAAAATATTAATAACCAATCACGAAGGAGCTGTCCAGGGCACGGAGGACAGGGATACGACGTTATCTATCACGTGATCTTCCAGAGAAGCAAAAAGAACTGCGCGACCTTGAACAGCGTCATGACGTCATGACGTCATGCTTATATACGTGCGAGAATATTGTACCCTTTGGCTGGCATCATAGCAGTTGGTCTGGTTCGCGCTAATACAGGCGTAGATATAATAATTACATTTTATATTGAGGTTTTAGGGTACTGGTCTTAGTTGGTTTTGTACTAAATTATAGTGCTCAAGCAGAGAGCAGGATTAGGTTTAGCAGTAGTCGCGGCATTGACATTTTGGGTGTAGTGATATGGACGCGGTATTGACGTCTCGGGTGTAGCAAAATGGAGGCAGCATTGACATCAGGTGTAGTAAAATGGACGCGGCTCTGACTTCTCAGGTGTAGGCATATGGACGCGGCTTCATGGTTGGCCTCGGAAGTGACCGCTCTTTGCCCCGGAAGCCTTAGTCGTTGCTGTTATCGGTGTTATGGCTCCGCTGCTGTCCCGGTTCTGTCCGGCTTAATTCACTATGGCGGAACCACAGCGGGAGTCGCCGTATAGTTTGACTATACCGACTACCCGGAACGGACCCCTCAGCCCGGGCCTCTCCTGCTCCGGGCCCCGAAGTCCCCGCAGCCTCGGCCACCAAGAAGCTGCAGGCAAACCGGGAGGAAAATGGGTCCGTCTAAACGTGGGCGGCACATACTTCTTGAGCACCAAACAGACCCTGTGCCGGGAACCCAAATCCTTCCTATACCGACTGTGCCAAGAAGACCCCGACCTGGACTCTGACAAGGTGGCTGCCATTATCAGTGTCCTTCTCTACCACAGATGGTCATCATGGAAACCTGTACAGAGAGAAGGATGGAGAACTGCCATGTCCTCAATATCAGCCTCTGTGTTCTTTCTGTACAGGTTTCTTAAAGGCCCCCTGTACACTTGTGCCATCTGTTGTAGTGCGTTAACTGCGTTTAATATAGGCTACATTAGAGCGCACCCTCCATGTTGAGCGGATGTCGGGGGGGGGGGGCTTTGGGCGCACCCCCCCCCCCCCCCCCCCCCACACACACACACACCAGGAGAAG